ATTTTCTTCCATATAACACATGATCAAAATTTTTTTTTACATGGAAAAAAATCCGCAACACCCCTACAAAAAAAATTCTAAAAAATCAACGGTAATTTTTAGCGACTTGAAACTTCCACTTTATTATACTAAAATTGAATGGGCTACAAAACTGCATACCCCAACATTTTCTATATATTCTAATTAAAAATTTTGAAATTTTGATGACGATTTTTTTTAAATTTGATTAATTTTTTTGCAATTTGTGCAAGCTTTGCAACTTTTGTTATTGTGGTTTCTGTTATAAATTGAATTATATTTTAAATGAAAATTATTAAAAATAAATAAATAAACATAATTTGCAAGCAATATCGTTTTGAATTTCGTTGCTAATTAGTTGCACGCATATGTACATATGTATACACGCAACATGGTTTTGTATCGATTCGAACAATTTGATACAATCAAGCACTTGTACCCAGGGATGCCGTTTGGATCTAAAGAGATCCAATTGGATACATTTTTAGACGAATTTTTGCGGGATACTTATTTTTTCCGGTCAGTATAAATGTGGATACTTTTTTAAATAGGCCAAAATTTTATATTTCCTATAAAGTTTTTTTCGTTCAAAAATCGATTTTCATTAAAGATGGTAGAAAGCATTACGTTTTCTAAACGTATAAAGAATCGCTACTTAAGCGTGAAATTAAAGCATTTTATTTTTTGTGAACGAAGCAATGAACATATGAAGAGATCTCACCAAAATGTGTATAAGCGCAATTGCTTTAATTAGCTTAAAAGGATGCTTTAAGCAAGATCTTAATATACATATCGTCGTTTATAGTACAAAACCGCGAATCAACAAAATGCAAAACCGCGTATGTGACGTTGCATAAATTATTTTATAGAGAGTAAAAACACTTATATCTCAAAATGGTTCTCTTTTTTATAAAGCAATCGCATTTCTGGCTAGTATATTTCAGGACGAATGGATAAGGATTGAGCCAAGAGCTTGTGTGAGCAAATCCAATTTTTGGCAGCAAATGTCAGTTACGCGGCTTTGCAGAATGACGATACGCGGTTTTGTACTTTAGACGACGATATATATAAAGTAAATTATACTCTTTCTGTAGTAATCTCTTTCATATCACATATTTTCATTTGTTAATTTAAAAAGAAGGAGATTTCAATGTGGTTTAAAAAACTAAATTTGATTTATTTAAGGAAACTTTTATGAATTTTACTGAGAACACTTTAAATACACTTCAAAAAAAAATTGTTTATTTGCGCATATTGAGGGAGGTAACCAGTTTCCTCTTTTAATGTGTGCAAATTTGCACGCCGTGTAATAAAATTAATCATTGCCTGTTTTCTTTTACATAACGAATTTGTCGCAAGAGAAAAATTACACATACAATGTTTAAAATAAAGTAATGTTTATTATTAGTAGGAAATGTATTTGTAGTTTGAAAATTTTTGCAATTTTAAACATTCTATATATGTGTATTTATGTGTATATTTTAAAGATCTGAAGTTCAGAATCAAAAACTGAACATCCTATACGTATATTTATACAGATTCTTGATGAAAAATAGATACTTTTCAGTAGTAGTTTTACATGCTCTTTTTAGAGTGTACTTGCTATTATTATATTTACTTTGCAAAATACTTATGCACAAAAAATGTACTTTATAAATTGAAATTACAAATGTTTGATTTTATGCACATGTATTCCAAGTCCTTAGGATGGGTTAAATTATGTCTTTTTCATGAAAATGTTTGGTTTTCTTACAAATTATGAGATGTATGTAGATACATTTTCTTGAGACGGCGCAGCAACACCGCTTGTACCTCACACGAATCATGCATGCATGTACGTACTAGGGATGTTGCGAATGTGGAATTTTAGACATCCGCGGATGCGGATGTTTAAAAGCTAACATCCGCGGATGCGAATGCGAATGCGTATGTCAAGTATTTTTAAGAAATAATTTTGGTGAGTACATTAGGTGATTTAGGTAAATAAAAAATGGAATAGTTACTAATTTTTAATAATGTTTTTTTTTATTTAGTACTTCAATTAAAAAATTGGAACATTGTATTTAATAAAGAGTATTTAATTTTGCTGCCTTTTCGGGTTACAGCCTGATTCCTAACGGGTCGTTAATCAAACCTGCGCCACTAAATAACTATTCGGTGCAACATTTCCTTTTTGGGAATTGCATCGGGGCTGCAAATGTCGGATGTATCCTCCTGACTTTCATCTTCACAATCTAGCATCATGGCAAGATCGTTGTATGTATTCCAATTTGGAGCATCAATTCTTTTGATTGTTTCAGAATTTGGAGAACCTTTTTCGTCATCAGCGTTTTTCGATTTCAGTTTTTGTACTTTATTTTTAATCCTGTGTTCTGTGACTGGTTTGAAAGATGTGCGCTTAGAGCGAGGTTGTGAATAGGTGGATATGGCAAATAAATTGTTAGTTTCTAGGAATGAAAATTTCGAAGAAAATTCTGTTTTGAAGGTCGTGGCTGCCAGCAGAAATAGTTTAAAATCTTGTTATTTTGTTAAAAAGGTACCCCGTTTTTTATAATAATTTGAATTATGGAATCACGGACGATAAAGGTGTCAGCTTTGCTATGAATACCTTGTAATTAGCTTTTTTTTATTAGTTAGGTGAGCTTCTTAGTTGCAGGCAGTCACAATTAATTACTCACCGCTGTCGGTACCATAAGCTATCAAATCTGTTTTGTTGTTCCATTCCACGCGCTCAATGTGTTTTGATATATTTTTTGAGGCGAGTGAACGCAAATTTCTCACATATATATCGGTAATACTATTTTAAGAGGACTTATTTCACATTGTCGCTGAAATGCAAAAAACCACAAGTAACTAAATTTTTGTATTGCCCAAAACGATGTGGGGACTTAAAAAGTTAATTTTGGATTTTTAGTTAGTTGCGGCTTTTTGTATTTCAGCTACGATGTGAGTTAAGCCCTTTCCATACTATACTAACCATATATTACATGCCAAGTCCCACGCCTCAATAGATATAAAATTCACCTTGAATTAATTCTTATTTAATTTGTGAACTTGGCTGTCGCTTTTTTACATACTATTTTATTTTATATTTTATATTTCGATGCGTGCTAATTTTGACAATTTACACAAAATTAAAATAAATGTTTTTGTTTTCGAGCTGAAAGACTAATAGAAAGAAACACGGAACTTAAGAATAATAAGTTTTATGAGGAAAAAAATAATTACACTAAGAAAAAGTATTAAACAACTAGAGATGCATCCAGTTTTTTCAACAGACCTTTGACAAATAATATTGGATTCTCTTTATAGCCAGCCGTTGAACATTTCCGCTGGAAATACCTACTATTATCTTACGCTTTGACTTTAAATTACGAAAGAAGGTGGACGTAGGGGACAGTCTTACAGTAGCATCTCTACAGGCAAAAAATATTGGCAAAAATTTTTGTTTGCCAGATATATGTTTTAGCAGTGCATTTGTACTATATTCGCATTCGCAAAAGCTCCGCATTGATTATTGCGAATGCGAATGTCATAATTTATGCGGAAGTTCCGCGGGCGAATGCGAATGCGAATATTCGCAACAACCCTGGTACGTACATATACACGCAACACACTTTAGTATCGATATGAAAAACAGTTTCGTTACCGCACAATATGTTGTGTTGTATTGATTCACGATGATGGTGCATATACGAAACATGCGAGTAACGAGATTATTATGTGAGTAACGATTCGGTACTTCGAGTCAGGGGTTGTATTCGTTACTCAGTAACGGTTTGCTACAGCTCTAGTTACAAACAACCGTTATGTGAACAAGTTATAATACCCTTGTGCACAAGTGCGCTCGGGTATAAAAATAAGACCAAAATGGTATTTTAGCAATTGTTGCATAAATCACATAACACCGACAAATTAAACATTGAGATTCAGTTTCAAATATACATGTTTAAATATTATTGCGCTTGTTAATTTTTCAAATCAAACCCCGTCCCGCCCTACACTTTGATTTAAATTTTGTAGTTGTTATTGTTTCGTCTTTATCAGGCATTTCTAACAACATTTTTGACCTTGTTTTGAAATTTGGCGACATAAAATAATTTAATTAATATTTTCTAGAATATGGAAATAATACACTGTGTGGCGTATTGAAATTCATTAAAGTCGCCAAATGGCTGTATGTTGCACGAGTTGTGGAATCAAAATGGCAATCTCTCTCAAACTGACAATGGTTCTATTTAAACAAGATTGTATCTGACTTCTTGATTATAAACTAATTTTATACATAAATATGCATTGTATTTTGAAGAGAATTGTTTTCGTTATTTTCTTGTTAAAATATATGTGTTATTTATTTTTTTAGCGGCAATAAAATATTAGGAAAATATTTTTAATTGCATATTTTACTTGTTAATGGCGCATATTTTTGAATTTAGAGTTCATATTATATGCCATATATGTAATACTTCTATATTGGTAGTAAGCTAACATCTCAATGTGTAAGCATTCCGAAATCAAAGCGAGACAGTCTAGTACTGTTTTTGTCAATGTATTGTGTACTTGAGTGCCGGTTTTGTAAATGTGTCGTGTACATGTTTATTTATAAACGTATGTGTTCCTTTTCTTTCGTACGTGTTTATTGATATCTGTACTGTAGTGTTTTCGAACGGTACTAGCTCTTACTGCCAATATAGGAGTATTACATATATGTTATATGCGCATATTTTCGATTTTTTAGTGCATGAGATTCCGAGCCCTTATTATCATCAAGGTGAAATGGTTCTCAATTTCAGATTTCTCTTCGTTATCATCTACTTTTGAAAGTAATTTACGCCCTCCTTTCCTCCCCATTTAACTTGTTATATAAAACAAAGATAAAAGGATGGAGAGCACTTCTTGGCAAGCCTAGTTGTAACAGTCTCGATGAGCGATATGTATATATACATTTGTATGTATGTACACATTCATGGATATATATGTACCTCCGTTTCAGCATTGTCCTGAGAACTTGCATCGCCGTTCAATTGCTTTTGATCGAGATCTTCAATTTTTTCCAACTTTCCAACATCTTCATCTGGAGTCTTCTTAGCTTCGGTGGTTATATCAACTGAACGTTTGCTTTGAGTTTTACCCATGTTGTCTTTTTGACGCCTGTAATGAAACAAATGCATCAAAGTATTAGAATAATTGGCTACTTTCTCAATGAGGCGAGTTTATTTATAAGTGACTGATTCGATAAATAAAAATATCTCCCATGTGACGAAAATACGTTTTCGCAGTGCGTTTAAAATACAATCACTTAGGACTGGTAAGTTTCTTATCAGACTACAAAATGGTTGTAAGAGAATGCTGCAGAAATGCGAATATGCATGTACATATGTACATATGTGTCAACGCATATATAGTACGCATATAAGTAAGAGATGCTTCGTGCATTCGTTGAGCTAAGGTATCTGCAGAACACAGCAGATGTAAATAAACTATAACCGCGCCTGCTTGCCGCTTAATTGATTAAGAATTGCAATGCGAGTACATGACTCTTTGTTTCAATCGTATCGCGACAATAACGTATCTACATTTTATGTATGAATGCACATATACATACATATGTGCAGCTGTGTTCAAAAAAATAGTAGTGCCGCTGCATCATTCACCTCAAACAAGTCAAACAATAAACTGGAGTGTTACACATAAAGGATGCATATATAACGACTAAAAAAGTAGATTCTAGATCAGGCATGCCCAACGCCGGCAGAACTCCATAAGCAAGTGCCCTGCGCTGGGCACGGCTGTTCTAGATATTTCCAGAATATTTAAAGATTCATATATTAAAAATATTGGTTTGTTTATACACTAGGGCTTAGTAGAGGTTACCTTAACGAAGTTAAAACTTAAGATATAGCTAATGTTTGGCACTATTTTTGTTTATTTCTGACTGATAATAATAATAATAGATTGGCGCTTACACATATGTTAGTGTTTGGCCGAGCTTCTCCTCCGATTTGTGGCGTGCGCCTTGATGTTGTCACACAAAGCGGAGGGACCTACAGTTTTACGCCGACTCCGAACGGCGATTGTATTTTGATGAGAAGCTGTTTTTCATGGCAGAAATACACTCGGAGGTTTGCCATTTCCTGCCGAGGGACGACCGCTGTTAAGAAAAAACCTTTTTTTCTATATTTATGCGATGTTGCTTTGACCAGTGTTTGAACCCAGGCGGAGTGGAAGCGCGCACTGCTTACTACTGCAGCACAGCGGCCGACTGACTGATATCTTGTATTAATTATTAGTTTAATTTGGATCAAATTTGATGTTCCAGAGGAGCGGGGTTGCCACATGTTTGAAAAATAAAATTCAACTTAATTCATCAGTTAATTAAAATATATATCGGAATTTTAGACGAGGGATATTTATGAATGTCTTAGCGCGAATCTACTTTTGCAGAGGGTTACCACCTGTTTATTTAATTAACTTTTATGCAAGTTATTTGAAATATGCAGCAAAAGGGTGTTAAGAAAACTTGAGTTTGAACATTTAGAATGTTTAAAGAGGGTTGCCACGTGTTTACGAAATGACATTCAAATTATTTAATATGTTGGATGATTAAAAGATGGGCATCATGGAAATGATTTTGAAAAGGCTTTATTTCTGAAATATATTTATGGGGGCTGCCACTTGTTTAAAAATCCAACTCAACTTAAATTAAGGCAATTACCTAATTCAAATATGTATTAAAATTTGGGTGTATATATTTGCGTCAAACGAAAGAGTGTTAAGAAATCTTTAGTTTGAACACTAGAAATATTTTTAGGTGTTTGAAAAGAGTTGCCATTTGTTCAAAAATTTAAATTATTTGAAAAGTTAAATGAATTATTAAAATATGGGTGTCAATCGTAATGGGGTTGAAAAGGCTTTATTTCTGAAATATATTTAGGAGTGTTGCCACGTATTTTATAAGCTACATTCAAATTATATAATAAGTTAAATTAACTTTTAAAGGATGGATATCAATCGAAATGGGTTGGAAAAGTGCTTCAGGTAGAATATGCAATTCCTTTCAGAGTGAATTATACACCAAATTCACTGGGAACTCAAATTGAGCTTTGTAGAAGTTCACTCGGAAATAAATTGTATAACCTACCTCTTTATTTCTGGAATATGAGAGGTCCTGTAGATGTGCGATAAGGTTTTATTTTTTGGAATTAGAAAATTTATATCGGAACAGGGTGATTTAAAATTTGATAATCAGTTCTGTTCTGCAATCCGAGTCGGAATCGTATCGGAATCGGAATTAAATTCCGACTCGGAATTTAAATGGTGTTCCACAATCCGATCGGAACTTTTGTTTCGAAGTTAATATCGAATCCGATTGTAAAAAAAGGAACAAACCTCGTATTTGTCAATTGCGTTCTGAAGTGTCAAAATTAGGGATAAAATGATACTAGTAAATACAAGTACATTCTCGATACTTTTCGGCCGATACCAAGTAATTTTGGTATCGATATTTTTGAACCGAGTACTGAGTAGGTATCGGAAGAAAGTACTTATATCGAAACCCGATTCAGTGAAAATTTTATTTCCGGACTTTTTTTAATCTAATTATTATTGTGAATATCTAAATATTTTTGGCAGTTTAGTTGCCAATGAAAAATTCCTACAAAGAAAGACCTATAATCATCTCATTAACATATCGCTAGCTTGAAGTGAAAAGTTGCTAAGTCCACTTTTTGTGAAAACTCATATTTGGATATAGGAAGCAAGGTAAATCAAAAACGCAACGTGTTCAAGTTTATATTCAATTAAAGGCAAATTTACTAAGTCCAAAAGAGGCACAGAAAAAACGATAAGCTCACAAAAAATTCTAAATCTTTTAATTTGCAACAGAGCTTTCTGCAAAATTCTTGAAGGAAATATTTTGAAAAGTTTTTTTTCCTCCCCTTTAAATTTTCTACAAATGGACTTAGCAGCTTTTCACTCCAAAAATTACCAACATGATTACTGCTGTTGAACAGTGTTATAATACAGATGACTTTTATTAATTAATTCATTTGTATGAAATAAATTATAAAATAATTGTTTTTGATCTCAATCGCTTTCTGTATGTACAAAATAAATAATAAGTATAACAAATAAAATACGTACATAAATACAAACGAAGACAATTCTGTTAACAAAATTCTGGGGACTTTTTAAAAGCAGCGTATTGGACTTTGCCCTTTTTCTTGTTTTCTGGGAGGCCATCCTAGTAAACCATGTACTTTGACAAAAATTCATAGATATGTGATGGCGTCTTTTATAAAAACAATTCTATAGGTACAAATATCGATATAAGTAGGCATCGATACTTTTAGCCCGATACTTACTAGGCATCGATACTTTCTTTCGATGCTACTTCCAAGTACAGGTATCGATACTTCCATGGTATCGTTTTATCCCTAGTCAAAATTCATATGAAGAAATTAAAAAGTGAAAACTCAACTGAGTTCAATGGTTTTATTTGCGGTTTTGCTCAATAATGAGCAGCAAACAAATGAAAAAGTGAGGCAAACAATTTTGCGCGATCGCAGCAATCCCATATAATTACCGGACTCTGCCTAAGTAGTATGCAAACAACTGTTTTCTCTTTTGCTATTTCAAAGTATAATTTTATATTTTACAGCTCTCTTGCACTCCTCAAGATTTTGGGTGACTTGCAGCCTCATGTACGCAAAAGGTTCCATTCCTGGGAGCAAAGCGCTTTCGGAAGGAGCACCGTACCATTGCCGACGTTACCGACACAATGTTGTATGCATGGAGTCAGAGATGTAGGTAACGATGTTTAACTGGGGATTAAGTATCGAGATGCTGATCGCCATACGTTGTTGTTGGGCGATACCGGGTATGCTTTGGAACCTTTTCTATTGACACCGTATATAAATCCATAGCCACGGTCTATGCAACACGCATTTAATCAAACACATTCTTCGGCACGTACATATGTAATATTGAAGTTCTCAAAAGTCGTTTTCAGTGTTTATTAGTAACCGTGCAGTACAAACTATGAGACGTTGTGAAAATAATTAATAAATGTTTTGCCTGCATAACATTTTTTGCCACTACAGTCCTGAATTTAACTATGAAGAAAGCGAAAAAAACGATAGTGAAGTATGTAGATAGTGAAGTAGATAGATTTGCACTAACAGAAATTTCTTTGAAAAGTGAAGCACAAATAATTGAATACGAAATTGCGAATTAAATTATTTCTAATTAATTGAAACGAGTTTAAAAGTTTTGTAATTAAACAATAAACAATTTACGCACAAAATAACATTTTAAGACTTTTTAATATATTTTCATTATAACTATTACCAATTTTAATTCGTTTACTTAATTTTTCGTTGTTCGCTAAAGTTCAAAATGTTTCATTCATCATTTACATTTATATTTTTGGTTTTTGTTTTGTTCTTTTTCTATTCCACTGGCTTTTACTTGATCGGAATATTTCCGACAAAAAATTTGCGATACTCGGAATGCAGAACATCAAATAGATGCGATAGAATTCCGATTCGAAGTGGATCTAAATGTAGAACAAGGCGGAATCAACAATCGGAAACAAATCCGATTCCGATTCGAATCGGATTGCAGAACAGGGCTGAATATTAAAAACCAACTATGCGAAACGCCTGCACGGATTTAGAAGAAATATGACACTCGAATCGCTTATACTCTGACTAACCGTTCTAATATTTTGCAGGTTTTTGAAATTCTATCTTGGGCCGTACGGCTTCACAAGTAAGTAATTATTACTTCTCGCTTATAAATAAACATATACGTTTATATTCCCAATTGCAAAAGAGGGTACCGTATTTTTATTAATTTTATATTGAAAAACATTATAATTTAAAACATTTTATCACAACTCTTCAATTTGTAAAGCAGAACATGTCAAAAAAATTTATAATTCTGCGCCATCGCAGTTATTTTTTGAACACCACTGTATGCATGTAAAAGAATGTATTTGCAAGGCATGAATCATGTTACATATTATGTATGAATACTAATATGCATATGCTAATATGTACATATTAGAGATGTTGCGAATGTGGAATTTTAGACATCCGCGGATGCGAATGCGGATGCGGATGTTTAAAAGCTAACATCAGCGGATGCGG